GTTAATATCTTTTAACTTAATTTAATAATAATATAGTTAATATCTTAAAAATGTTTAAATATTTTTCTCGTACTCCCCAAGGGAACCTCTATCACCCCTTAAAAGGAATGACGCCAATGTTGAATCACCCTGTATATCATTTTTAGTTTACCACTGCTAAGAATTATTTGTTTTTGAAAAGTCGTTATTTTGGAACCAAATACCACAGTGAAACTGCAACTTGAAACTTGAAGCTGTGCTTTTGTTGCCATTAAATGGTTCTAAAACTTCTTGTGCGAAATCGCTCTGCGCGGCGGTTTGTTAACTGAACGATTTCAAAGTTGAAACAGTAACAGTCTGTGACAATGGTCACCAACCAACCAACCAGTTAAGCAACTGAAAAATTGGGTTCCTATTTAAATAAAACCGTATAAAAATAAGAACGCTGTCGCTGTCAAGGTACCAAAAATCTCATCTTCGAATAGCTGAAGCAGTCATTGTGGGGCCCCTCTCCGCGGAACTAGGTTAGCACGGTGCGAATCTACAACAGGTACAGTTATATTGGGTATTGGGTAGTGGGGCCGTTGGATTCGCTGGTTCTCTCTTCGGTTGATGTCCAGTCTTGAGGATTCTTTTAGCGTGCGCACATTTAACTCAGCCGCCCCAACCATCTACCACTTTTAGGGTTTGCCACCCCCACCCAAACCGGAACTTCATCATCGGAACTTTAGGGTGTTTCACCACTACAAATGTGTCGAAGCTAAAGAAAGGGTTCAGTTCCTTCGGAAGCAGTACGCGTGCCGATTGATTTGGGTTCGGTTTATCATATCCGGGTCTACATATACTGAGTGTTTTTTGCGATTTATTTGGCCAATAGACTTGCTAATATCGGACGTTCGCGCCAGTGTAAAGTTGCAGGTGCTTTGCTACAGTCATAGTGACCCATACAGGAATCCATCTTTTGGAATTAGTACCACACATTTAGTGCAGGTAAGTCTTTTCCCCAATTTTTACCGATTAAGGAGATACCGGGAGACGGAGCAATGACTCGCCTTGGCAATGGGTGAAGGACGTCGGGTTTGCTGCCAGAGATTTCCTGCAGCAGCGCGAGCTTCTTATGGGTTCACTTGGTTTATCAACCATAATCTGTGGGCCAAATGCCGCTTTTCAATGATGCAAGTTCGATTTTCTACTAGTTTTACCCGTTGCTACTTGTTTCAGTGCATTTTTAAATGTTTTATCGAGCAGAGATCTATGGGGAAGGATTGGGTTCAGCCGGGAGTTTTTTTGGACTTGCAATCGTCAGAAATACATTCACCACGGTCGAAGAAACGGCTACAGGGGTATTATTGTCTCCAACCCTTAAGCGCTATTTGTCGGTATCCAAAAATTGAAAAAGATGCCTACATCGCCGTTTTAACCACTTTTTTGTAATCCTCTCAATGCCCAACACACATCAAGGACGCACTTCTTCGCTGGTTGCAACAGTATGGGTTAAATTAGCTTTACGTCTGGGCTTTTCGAGACATTTCACAAAATGTTTGGATTCGCATCGCGAGCCCTCTAAATAATGTTTTTTTGCAATCGCAAGCATGTTGTTTTCTACAGACCAACGTGTCTAGGATGGAAGTTTCGCATATTCTAGTTTAGAAGCAAATACTTTAGCCAATAATCGAGGAAGAGCAGGGGTTGCAAAACATGTTTTTTTTTCATCTTAAACCTTCTGACGGGACAATTGCTGACTCTTGAAGCTACCGGCGAAAATTACCAACTGTTCTGACGATTGCTGCAAATGCCTTAACGATGATCCATTCGATAATGGAAATTAACATTAATAAAACAAATGGGAACTTAATGTACTAAACTGCAATTAAGTCTAAAAATCGTCAAATTTTGCGTAATATTTTCCGAACTTGTTTTCCCCTAATTTCGAGTTTGTAACTGAAGTATAGATTTATGTTTTTATTCGAATGAATCTAAAAGTGAAATTTTTCGATCAGAAGCGATGATCAAAAAGAAGCACTTTACTGTTCATTTGTTGTACTTTTACGCTCGGACTTCTGACATGGAATCTGACAAATTGAACGTGCCACTGTCATAAAATATTTCGAAGTGTTTTCATTCAAAAGTAAACGACAGGCTCTTTAATTAATTACTTAGGCTTATAGAGAACTATTGACCATAATTTAAAGTTTACTGACAATTTGTAAATTATAAGTTTGTTACAAGTTCAGTCTCAAAGTCGTTCAAATGGTCTATTTTTATGCTTACAAAAGTACGCTTTTGAAAAATTACAAACGTCAAAACGTGACAATTTCAAAAATGACATTAACATCAAGTTTACAATATGAAGTTGACGGCTTTTATTTTCGGCTATTTTTATTTATTATAACTGATTCTTCCGTGTTATGTCCATTATTCGAATAAAAAATCTTGTTCGATACGAGGGGGGAAATCCGTTTTTCGCCCTTGTATCGAAAACTACTATTAAAACAGCGAACAGCGACTAACATTTGGCCTAATATGACTAAAGCCACGCTTAAGAGAGTTAGACTTTGCGACAATTGCTAGAAACTGATCAGTTTTTCGGACTAGTTTTTGTACCAATGACAAAGTGATAAATGCCGAGACTGTAAAAAAGACTGCTTAGAACAACGAACCTAATAAATAAAGGACACTGAACGACGACATGGAAATGTGGGAAGCGTAGAAGCGATTTCCTGCTCAAACTTTCCGACTTCAAAAAAAAAATGCAACCTAATGGTTTTCCTAAAAAGCCACTAAACGTTATTGCGAACCTCGGCTAACACTAAACGAGATTCGAACGGTTCATTGTATTCTGCCTACATTTGAAATCCATTAAACAATTTGTTCATCCGAGGTTAACAATACGCGTCGAAAAAATGTCTCTTCGGTCGGTGCTGGTCTAATAACTCGCAGGTTCAGTTAGGCAGTGGCAGTTTTAATTAAAACACTGTGACGAGTCAAAAATTCTTTGTTTCTTCATTGTTGCTGCTTTGCACTCGTTTAAGTAATGTTGATTAAACTGATAGCCGGCGGTAACAGGAAAGGTACTGCGGTTTTGATGTACAGTGCGTTCCACTTGGAATCGATGCCTTCAGCACCTTTTTTCTGCTCTGTGATAGTAATGATTGATTGAACCGATTTTAGTCTACGTTAAACAGTTTTCTGCCAATAACGCGAATTAATCTGTCCATTTCCTGGCATGCCAATGTTAAGTGGTAAGCTTTGGAGTCGGGGAGGTCGCAAAAGACTGTTCTTGTCGTTCATTGTGCAGCCGGTTTAAAATTCAACAATAACAACTCGAAACCATTAAATTATCTGTGATATGATCTCATGAGACCACAAGAACCAGAAGCTGTTGAATATCTGATGGCATGTATTCTGGCGGAAAAAGTGGGTCAGCGGATCTGTGTGCGAAAAGCATCCAATCGGCACAAAGCCGGACAGGAAGGCAAAAACATCCATAGATTTCAAGAAATGGCAAAAATGCTGATCAAATTGAAGACTTGTAGCTGATGAATGAGCAGGCTCTTTCAGCAGTCTTGACCTCACCCATAACATTTATTTATAAAACCATGAACAATCAGTACATGTTAATGGTGAGCCTCGTTTCGTATTTAAATTGTGTAAATTGATGTTTGTATGGACGAGCCGCATTAATTGTGTCATTTGCCTAACTGTAAATCTATAATAAATACACGATGGCAATTGTGTAGGATAACCGGTAACGCAGATTCTCAATTTGTTTAATTGGGGGGCTTTTTGCTAAAAGTGCGACTTTGAACTTGAAAAATTTGGGTTTTTTTTCAAAATTTTCGTCAACGTTGCAATCGTTGCAGCAAAACCACCTACTCTACCAATCCTAACGGTCAACCTGCACTATTCGTCCCATAATCTTCTTCGCCTTTGGACTTTCTCACGCAATATTTCACCAAATAACGCAGAAGAACGGAAAATGTTTTTTCGCTGAGTTTATAGGCGCGTTTACTGCAACAACTAAATGCGCTTGATAGGACCGATGCCTTAGAGAAGAGGTAAAAACGAATATTTCAGAAACGACCATAAAAAATTGAAAAAGGAAGTGAGCAGCAATTGTACAAATGTTCAATCGATTCCTTTCGATGTAAGAAGGTCACAAATGTGTATTTATAAAGTAAATTGTTTGTTGTTTGGGTCGATAATAAGGAAGAAATCGTCGAGTAAAGATCGTGAACGGTCAAAAAATGCTTTAATCGTGCCGAAAATGTCTATTATTTCGGATCTGAAACTTTCAGCATGTTTTTCAATGAGTTCGATGCATTTATCGCGTCCCTGAGCTGAAAATGATGTAAAAATAAGATTTTGAGTAATTTTTCATTTTTTTCAAAAAATCGACCTTCACCCTTGGAAACAAACGAAATATTGTGTTCTACAATACGTGCTCGTCATTCTAACAATACGCGAATTGCCTTCTTATGAAAAATAATCACTCTTTCAGACCTACTTGTCAACTTCAATGCTGCAAATGGTTAAGAGTCTAAATATGTATGGTCAAAAATATGCATTTATAAAGAGTTTGTGTCAATAATAAGGAAGAAGTCGTCGGACAAAGTTCGTAAACGCTCAAAAAACGCTTAAAATGTGCCGGAAATGTTTATTATTTCAGATCTGAAACTTCTACCATGCTTTTTAATGAGCTCGATGCATTGCTCGCGTACGTGAGCTGAAAATGACGGAAAATTTGAGATATTTTGAGAAAATTTTCATTTTTTTTTAAATCGAACCCCACCCTTGGAAAATTTTCGCCCAAAAATCAAAATTCCATCATACCCAGTCGTCAATAATTCATTTCGTCCACAAGAAATATTTTCCGCATAAAACCAGTCCTTTTCCACTTTCGAAGAAATCAAAATAATAATAATAATAATAAGTTATAAAGCCGCACGAACAAAAGTGCTCAAAATACTTGTCTACTGATTACTGATTTTGATGATTAGATACTGATTCCACTGACAAATTTAATTTTTTTCAAAAAATCGTCCCCCGAAGAAATCGTCGGCTAAAGATCGTGATCCCTCAAAAAATGTCTATTATTTCGGATCTGAAACTTCTACCATGTTCTTCAATGAGTTCGATGCATTGCTCGCGCCCATGAGCTGAAAATGACCCAAATTTGGGACATTTTGAGGAAATTCTAATTTTTTCAAAAAATCTATCCCCACCCTTGGAAAAATTTCGGCCAAAAATCAAAATTTCACGTGTGTTTTTTGAGCTCAAACGGTTCCTTTCGACGTAAGAAGGTCACAAATATGCATTTATAAAGTGTTGGGGTTAATAATAAGGAAGAAATCGTCGGCTAAAGATCGAGACCCTCAAAAAACGTTTAAAATATGCCGAAAATGTCTATTATTTCAGATCTGAAACTTCTACCATGCTTTTTAATGAGTTCGATGCATTGCTCGCGTACGTGAGCTGAAAATGACGGAAAATTTGAGACATTTTGAGAAAATATTCATTTTTTCAAAAAATCGACCCCCACCCTTGGAAAAATTTCGGCCAAAAATCAAAATTTCACATGCGTGTTTTTTGAGCTCAATCGATTCCTT